GTGTGAAATGTGATCGCTCTATCACTGTCCTGAAACATTCAACCCAATAACCTGAGAACTAGCCTTTCATTTTTCTCATTTACTGTGTGTCATTAGCTCTCAGAACATCTCCTCCTCATCTCTCCACTGAGGGAGATGCACTGCGTCTTTCTCTGGGTCTCTGATGTCTCGAAAGACAACTTCAGAATAAACAGGACGAATTCAAAAGTTTAATCACATGAGCAGATGTGGTCGAATTCAGAGTTAATTTGTTGTCGAGAGAAAAATATGATCTCCACAGCACCAGCTCTCCTGTCTTAACAAAGTACATTAACTCAAGTATTGTATAAAGTACAGTTTTAAGGTAACAACTCTTTATACTTTATATCTTCTCCTCAACATTTATTTTTGTATTTTTCTAGTTACTTTTAAGATGAAGATTTTGCAGAATGGTTATCACAACAAGCTTTCAATACATTTGTTAAGGATTTATCGAGCGCTCTCGAGCCATTTGGGATTTTAATGTCTTAAAAGCAGAGTGCATTCTGTGTCACATTTCAGCTGTCTTACTTGTCAACAGCTCCTCCAAACATCCTTCCCTCTAAACTCATCTCTTTGTTTATTTTCAATAAATCTAAAAATTTAGCAATATCTCATGAAAAATCCCCCAAAATCAGAAATCAGTAAAAAAGGCTCAAGCGAAGACACCTTTGCTTATAAGAATTAAATGTTTCCTCTTTCTCTCCTAATCATCATCTTAATATCCCTGAAATCTATCTGATTTGTGTAGAACTGCACATTAAGGGATTCAAACGAGCTCCACGTCCAAAAGCTACAACAGTAACACATCAGTGCCTCTGTATTAATTAGTCATTGCATATTAATAATATATTTTTCAATGACGAAATCAATGTTTACTATAATAGTGTCAATTTATACCAATGCAATCTTAGAAATAAGGGATTTTTCATGAGGACTATTACTTGTGATTGAGTATTTTTAAATAGCTGTATTTGTATTTTTACTGAAACTTTAAAGGTTACAGTAACTTTTTTCACTGCTGCTTATTTTCTGCTCATATCTCTGCTTCTCCAGTTCACAAACCTGTGAGCAGGATGTGGTGTAGTCGGGCTGTGACGGGAGGTGGTGCATTGAAAGCCCTGATGACTGAGGACGCCAGGATTAGACTGATGATCAGCCAGCTCCGATATTCTGTTAATACTTTCTCCGGATGTCTTAAACTTCTGCAGTGAATCAAATTCCTCCATGACAAACAACTGTAATGACGTTTTGCTTCCGCAAAGCAAAAATATTTATTAAGTTTTGTCGAGTTAGTCTCACTAATCATTATTTCACTTGTTGGAATTTTATCTTTCAAAATAGAAACATAATGTAATGTCTCAGACGGAATCCGTCAAGCTGCTATGTTTGTTTTTACAAAAGCTAAAGACTTTCAACTGTCCTTGTCCTCTTTGTCATAACTAGTCAAACTAGTACTTAACAGTTTCTTATAATACCACATTTAAATTCACTGGAGCCAGATTTTCATTTGAATCTGCTCCAAAAAATACAACAGAATGCTCCAGCTTTCCAACGAATTTCATGGGAATTGTTTTCTTTCAAATTCTGCAAACAATCCAACAGGTGTGAAAATATGGTGAAATGTGACTCTACAAGACTGGAAAACGCTGAAATTGCTGTGATGAATTCCCTGAACAAATGTAATTCATACATGTGCAAAATGAGAGCAAAATTCCAATGACTGCAATGAGTTTTGCATTTTCTGCAGCTCAAAAGAAGAATTTCTTAGTCATTGTAAGAAAACAGGTCCAGATGGACGTTGTTGTAAACTAGACTGATTTGTTCAAACCACATTCTGATGATAAACAGATTTCCACGTGCATCCACTGGAAGGTACGAACACTCCCTCATCCCTCCAGACTCAGGAAAATGGCCTCATCCCTGCAGCAACATTAGCTGTCAAACATTACAGCCGGCAATTGATCCAACAGCATCGCGTGTCAAAATAACATAAGACAGTGAGGGGGAGATGTGTCTAAAGTAAAGTGAGGAGAAAAACAGAGCGGTGGAATAAATGTGCATATCAAGACAGGATTTTACGCCTCAGAGGAAGCACTAGAGGGAAAATCAAACCGATTTTCAATGTGACAAAATTGATTTTCCAATTTTCTCCGGATTGCTTTCTGTCTCCCTGGGGCAGGTGAGGTGTCTATCCAAACACACCTAAAGCTCCACCTGAATTATGTCCGAGGAATTTGAAGAAAAGAGGCGGAATGTTTGGGCACCTCTCTTCTATCTTCCTCCCTCTCAGTTTCCTCTTTGAATCGGTGCGTAAAAGCCTGGCTGCCACATATATAAACTGCACACACATGCCACCACACCATATTCTCAGGACGGCTGAGGGAAACGATGGATGCCACGCAGGAGTCAGACTCATGTGAATGTGCTGAAGAGGTTGGGTTTAAATCTCTGCAGACCTAGAGGACGACAGTTCAGTTTAAATCGACGCCTTCTGCACCTCCATCTGGCTCTGCTGACTGAGTGTGCTTTTGACTTCCTTTTTTTTCCAACTGGGTCTGGACTTTTACTAAAATCCCTGCGGACATCTTGGAAAGAAAAACAGCTACATAACAAATGATGGCAGTGGGGGGGAAGAGGGGGAAAGATATTTGTAGATACAACATAGGAACAATCATACATGGTGCTTCAGGCTTGTACCACTTTTATTTGGCCACATCTGCAATCATGTTACTGCCAGCGCCAGCTCGTATTGCAGACATGAATTAGTCATAGCTGTTTGGCTGTTTAGTGGAAAATAAAAAATCACCATAATGGATTTTATTTTTGTTTTGACGGCATCTGCAGTGGATGAGATTTTAATGGACTGTGACACGGCTTCATGATGAAAATGTTAAAATGGCAGTGTCATTGATTGTTTAAGAAAATAAGATGTTTTGATTGAAACATTTACATCTTCTGAGCTGGTGTAGATCACAAATAAGTGGAAAACACTGACAACCAATAAGACCTTTGTCACAGCAATGACACTTTATGGAAAAAGAAGCAGCGCTTTAGATTACAGTCTGTAACAGCAGAATTACATATTTGTATTTCAGGGTATGTTTATGACCCACTGAGCTATAATCTGGATGTTTCGGAAGAAAGTAGAGAGAATTTATATTGTACTTACTATTTATAATAACTGAGCTCATTGGTTATCGTCTCATAACAAATAATGTAAAAACTTTAGGGCTTCCGGTGTAGACAGCATATATCCAGTCCAAACCTCTCTGTTCACTGGTCACAGTTTCCAGTCTAACTTGTTCCTTTAATCACATGAGTTGAATGTGTCTCAAAAAACAAACAGATATGTTTTATAGGTGTTTTAGGTCAATCCAACAATTGCAGATAAATTAAAAAGCTGGTGCGCTTCAGTCAGTGTGTTCCGCATCTTTTGTTCTCCACACGGAGAGTCAACCAAAGCCTGCTCAGATGTGAGGCTCGAAACGGAAACCAGAAGCTTCCGGCTGCAAAATCCTGTCCCTCACCTCCAGATTCTGAACATGAAGAATTAGTTTATAGAGATTAAATGAAAAGTGAAACAGATCCTGAAATGTTTCCTCCTTATTCAACCACATCACCTCTTATTCCCCAGTACCCACATACAAGTATTGGTACACATTGTACTGGTACTACTGTAACGGTACCTTCTTTTTCCTAATGCTTTTATAATCATTTTCTTTGGGAACACTCTTCTCCAACAAGAACAAACCTAAAAATGCCTCCAATAGGTGAAACTGACAGTAAAACTCATCCGAGCATCTGAAGAGAGGTTTATCTGACAGGACCAGGTTTGTAAAATACATGTCCTGGCAGCTCCCACGGAAAAAAAGACAAGAACAAAAATATAATGTGTCCGGACAAACAGCTGCCACCTAAGTGCTCATTAAATCAACAGTGAAAATGAAGTATGACTCCGACCTGTTTCTGCTGACACACAGGGACAATTGACTCGGGTCTTTGTCAGTTGGAAAGAGTTACTAATACTTCAAGAGGGTGAAGGATGAAGTGAGAGGAAGAATCTGCTTTTTCAGAGATTTATTGAGGCCACAAACAGGCGAGCAATTTGGCTGCGCGCCTCCCTCAAAGGCGTTCAACTGAATATTCCACCTGAAGCCGGTTAGTGGTTGTAATAAATCCTGGCTGCCGACAGGAGAAGAGATGCTGCTGTTTGTTGGAGAAAATCTTTTGAAGTTTACAGGGAGTGATAAGCTCCGGAAGTCTCACTTTTCCATTTCAGAGGAGAAACAACAACAACCAGGATGCATCTCTCCGACGATTCGGTCTCTCCATCACCTCACAAAACCAGCTCTAACAGTGCTCGCTGCATTGATTACATCTCATTTCAATTACGCCTCTATTAAACAGTTTACTGTAGCTCGGGGAGCGGCTCATCAGCGCGGTTAGCCGCCGCGGTTCCAGCAGTTCCGGATGGGAGGTTTTCAGCCGGGCTTGTTGGACACCGCCAGAGCCGACGGATGAGTGTGTATCACCTCAATTAAACTATGCGCTAAGTGTCTGACAACAGCTAATATTCCTCTTCCACCAGCGAATCAAATCGATGTTCTGGCATTCGTCACCCTGCTGAAAAAGCAATCATCCCGTTGTCTCGCTCCAGTTAGACAGGGAAATGGAGAGACGCTCATCTGGCTTCTGTGACTGCACGCTGGAATGCACCAGCACTCATTCCCTCAGAAACCCACATTAAAACAAATGTAGAGATGGCATACAACACTCACTCACACACTTCTCCTCTCTGGTAAAGACAGGTCAAGACAGAGATGTACAAAAAGCGGCAACTCAGATGTTCCAGTGACGAGTGTAAAGCTTGGAGCTGTCCAGGAAAAACTCCCACTCTGTTCCACTTGGAAAAAGGCCATCACTCAGCAAAGAATACACACACACACACACACACTCACAGGTATGCCAGGTTAACTCACCTCTCTGTCAAGTAACGTTGGAGAGATGACGGTGACAATGTCGCCTTTTTCTGCGTCGATGTAGAACATGTTCGGGGACGGTTTGTCAGGTGACTGCCGGACGATGTTGTATCGCAGCGCTGCGTTATCTGTGGCAGGGTCGTCTGCATCAAATGCAGTCATCCTCATCACCGTGGTCCCTGGAGAAGACAATAAAGAACATGAATGAGTCTGAATTCAAGGAAAACTTGTAAAGGGGGGGCAAAACACCAGGCCCATAAACACTAACAGTTTTGGAAGATAGAGTTACAGCAAAAACAAATGAGGTTCAATTAAATATCACAACAGCTGCATTTGGAAATAATATATGTGGATATAAAACTTATTACAACAGTTTGTTGTGCACACGCTACATGTCTGTTGAGCCAATGAGATCAGTTTTCTGTCTATATGATATTTGTTAACACAATGCATCTAAGATTTGAGCAGATTTCTAAATTTTCACTCCGACTGCTGCCCACAGCCACTTAAAAAAAAGTTTGCCCTCCCTAATGTGTTTTCTCCCTCGACTCAGCTCGAACAGCAGGGTGCATTTTATTTAGTAATGGGAACAAAAATGGAAATCCTGCTCCCTGCGGCTGAGCTGAAATAGGAAGAACTCGTTGACACACCCTCAACCCTCAATGTCTCTGTCTGTTGTCGGCGGTGAGATACGATCGCAGCGATTCAACAGAACACACATGCAAATCCACACAAAGTGGAGTGTACACACGCAAAAGCATGTATATGTGACTCCAAACATGTGCACACAAACACACACACACACATTATGTTAAGTTGCGTTCTACAGCCTTTATAAACGGGATCTTCTTGCAGTCAGAAACCTCATCGGCTCAAGAGCTCTTTACTTTATTGAAATTTGAAGTTGTAAGATGTGCAGCTTCATTATGATGCGAGTGTGTGCGTGAGACACAGATGGACAATTCTTAAAAGTGGGGGATGTCTCGCACACTTCTGATCATTTCGTGTTTGAAGAATTCAAAGATTTTTATTCAAATTATGTTTTTTAGCAATAAAAGTAGAGAATCAGTGCATCTTGGTTTGTGTGTAAATAATTGTGAAATGACACAACTAATCAATGTGGATGATGACGCTTCTGCTTTCACTTTTGAACAATAAGAGAAGGGAACAATGCTTTATTTCAACAAAACGCTGCAGTTTTCTCACATAAAGCTTCTTCTGTTCTTCTCTGAAACTATTAAACTAACTGAAGTTTTATGTTTCCCAGCAAGAAACCGTTTGTGATTTTTCATTGACCCAGATACTTAACAAAACATTCTGCTAAGTACCAAATACCGGCACCACGTGGCATGGCTCATGAACATCGATCTGTTTTCATGCTTCTTCTTAATACCCCTCAGTACTTTGCCACAGTGCATTAGCCAAACTGCTGGGATAAGACACAAAAGGGGGCTGCAGGAAGATATGCAAAGTCTACATTAAACAGCAGTGTGACTTGAGTCCAGTTTACGGTAATGAGGGGCAGAGAGGTGTGGGTTTTATCCCCCTGCCATTGGCACTTCAAGGTGAACCTTTAATGGTTAAGTAAACCGGTAATCCTTCCTCTGCAGAATAATTACACACTCCCATCTCTTTCATTACCTATACTCTGTTCCACTTCACACCTCGAAAACGACACTGTTAGACATGACTCGGTGGGCGCACACACAAACACACACATCTTGTGCACGGACACACCGACTGGCAGCAAATTAGAGTGTTAAAAATGATGGCTAAATTGGTTATCTTGAACAGATCTCAGTGAATTATGTTCTCATTTCGCCGGTAAACTGAGGTCCCTTGAATGCAACACAATCATATTACAAGTTCTACCTGATAGCAGAGTGGAGCTGGCCCTCTCACTCCTCACTGTCTTCATCAGATACTGTGATTCAGCCTCACAAGTGAGTATTGTGTATCCCAGTGAGCGTCCGTCAGTCCGTTAATACAAAGCGGTCATCAGCATCAATCAGCTTACATGATAAACATCTAGTGTTGTGTAATGGGACAACAGAAGTGGGTATAACTCTTAACACTAATGTCCGCCGAGTTTAATCACAGAATTACATCATGACTCATTGGCCTCTCTTATCATCGTCATTCTCTGGCAGCATCCAAGGCCCAATGTGAACTGCACCGGGCAGTTATACGATGGGATGGATGAGCAGGACGCCCATTACCTCACTATCACTGACATCCATCTGCTGTGCAGCGGGATGACATCAGCTCGCTCTGGATGCAGAGCGAGCTGAGACGATAAAGGCGGTGGAGAGAGAGTCTGTAAACGCTGTGTGATGCACGTCTATCAAGTTGTCGTGTAATGAGTCATTTCCACGTTGTTGCAGCCGGTCAAAAAATAAAATGAAACAGAAAATCGAGAGCAGGACTATGATGTGAAAACATCAAAAAGTAAAATATGAAAGGACAACGATTGATACAGAAAAAGAATGCTCGCACAGATACGCATGTTGTGGATTGATTTCGTCACTCGGGCTGGTGGTACACGGTAACGTCTTGCCTCCAGCTACCTCCTATATCTTTCTCAAACCCCACAGGAAATCAGTGGGGGCCGGCAGATCTGTGGCCGCCACCAGGGAGCTGACATGATGTGTAAAGCCAAGATAAAGCAAGAGTACATGGACAAGATGGAAGAAAAAGGGTAAATGTGATGCCAGTATGTGTTAGAGTCTACACGCACGCACGCACGCACGCACGCACGCACGCACGCACGCACGCACGCACGCACGCACGCACGCACGCACGCACACA